TCTTTCCCTGACCTGCTATTGATTATCCACTGAAGTCTCGCAGTCGTCATGTGCTTTAAACACAGTCCACATAAATGATGTCATCTCTTGCTCTCTGCCCTAGGAACTTTCAGGAATTAATTCAAATACTACCACATTTTGGACTACATATAAAAGGTATAGCCTTCCTAGCATATCTGGATTAGCCTTTATTCAAGTTATTAAAAACTTACCTATTATACTTCAAGCCAGTCATGTAAAGCACACCTCATAGACACAAACCTCATAGCTTGAGAAATACATAAAATTAGACCTCATAGGTCATGACTATAATGTTTCAAGTTAAAAATAAAATCTTAGAATACTGCACTAGTTGTTAAGGGGGGAAAAAAGACAATATATAAAATTACCAGCCAAGTGAATCATACAAATATTTCTCAGACTTATCTTTTAAAAAATTTGTACACCTGAGACAACTGGTGGCCTGTTAGTTAAGATGGTTGGATGCTACATCGTAGTTTGAGTCCCAGACCCAGTGGCTTGAAAACCACACTGGGCATGTGTGCATGCATGCCCAATATCCTTAAAAGGAGAATGGAGGAGAAAGAACCGTGGTATGGTCATTCTCCCAAGAGGTGATTTCTCACTTTCCCTTTCTCTCTCTTTCTCTCTCCAGTCAGCACACTTACCCTATGGGGAAAAAAAAAAAAACAAATCAGGACCCAGCAAATGACATAATGATTGTGTTGCTGGATTCCTACTTCAGTCAGCCACAGTTAAAGTCCTGGACCCACCGGCTCAAAACTCACACCAGGAACCTGTGCATGGGTGCCTAAAATTCCAACAAGAAAATGGAGGAGAAGGGATTGTGCCTAGCCATTTCCCCTGGGGGGGTGCGTTCTCACTTTCTGTCTCTCTGTCTCTCCAGCGAGTACACGTGCCCATAGCAAAAACCTCTCTTAAAACAAACAAACAAACAATCCCCTTGTCACTTATAGAAAGAGTTGCAATAAAGAGTCTTCTTTCCTTTATGGTAACTCTTGCCCAATGTGCTTTCACATATCAAAGGAGACTGGAGCACGGGGCTGAGTCATATCATCAAGCCAAAAAAGGAATGGACATCACTTACAGTAGACGAAAGACCACAAGAAGGATGTCTTACCACGCTTGAACCAGAAGATAACATACATATCCTAAAGAGCCTTTGGTAAGTTTTTAGCAAACTATACTGTGATAGTGGCAATGTTTCACGACCTTCCATAGCTTATAATTAGAAGCTTAAAAACAAAACTTTAGTTTGACACATGGACAGAAACACAGCGTAAGAAGGGAGATACAGGGTGAGGGGGGGAGTTACAGAACTCAATAGGAAAAACCAACATCCAGGTGTTCATTTACCTTCTTATTTAGCCAGTGCCAGAGCTTGAGGATAGGGGTAAGGTGAGAAAGAGGAGATAAGAACAGTGGAATATCATTAGAGAATGCCGTAATAGTATGAAAAGAAAAGAAGGTCACTGAAAGCATGAGAAGGAAACGTCCTAGACAAAGGGAAAACTAGGGAGAAAAATTTTATACAGGTTACAAAATCAGGAGAATATAATATGCTTTAAGATATATAATAACTGGGAAAAAAATGATGAAAAGCTATTCGATGATGATGAGGAGGAGGACGGGAATGTCTTTGTGTTGACTAATGTGCATGATATTCCTTCTGGAAAAAGAAATGCAATACACTGCAAAGATGTATGTTATTCAATGTAATGTAAACAAGATTATAATAATAATAATAAAAATAAATAAATAAATGAAAAGAAAACCAATATGAAGATGATTAAGTATGGCTGTGCTACAATAAAACCTTACTGACAAAAAATATATATAACTCAAATGGTAACCACATGCTATAGTGGTAATCCAGCAATTAACGATACATGAAATAACATGACTGTTTGCAGAGTTAGTGTCTCTGTGCCCGGGCGCTGCTCCCTCTGCCTGCTATTCTTACCACGTCCACCTAAGAAACTCCTACTCATGCTTCAAAACGCACTCCGGCATTATTTCCCTGGCAAAACCTTCCCTTTCCCATCGTATTATCAACAGTCATTTCTTGCTCAGTGCTATGCCGTACCTGCTTTTCCTACGCGGACTCCAATGACAGCTAACACTTGCATAGATTTTTGTGCACCATGCACTGATGTAGGGATTTCACATTTAGACTTCGTTTAACCCTCCCAACCACTCCGCGAGGTACCTATTATTATACCCATTTTACTGATGAGGAAACCAAGGCACGAAAAGGTTAAAAATTGTGTCCAAGGTCACATGGCTAGAGCTGGATTCAGAGCCCTTACCCTCTAACCACTGAGCTTCTGAATCTAATAATTGCCTTTGAATTTTCATACATTGCTGTCTCTCTCCACTAACAAAGATTCTCTATCTGGTTTCCTGTGATTCATTTGATTTTTTCCTTGGATTGAGTGTAGTATCTGACACATGGGAATTATTCCAAAAATATTCACTGAACTGAGCCACCATCTCATTATATACTTTTAGGCTGACAGTCATATAACCTCCTGGGATTAAGATTTGGTACTGATAAAATGAGGGAATTGAACTAGGTGAACTAAGGTCCTTTTCTCTCAATTTTTAAGAGGGGTAAACACACAATACTTAAACTAAATTCACCCTACCCTGATGCAAACCATAATTCTAAAGTTCTTTAACGTTTTATCACAGAATTAGATACCAAATGTCTTACCAGGTGACAATATAAATACCACGGAATGCGACATGTCAGACCATGAAATACGCAAATTCTATTAAGAGAGACCAAGCTCTTAAAATACAATACCTTGCTGTCAACTTTTAACAAGAATTTTCCGAGCCCAATGATGGGCCACGGCGCCAGGGCTTCCCGCCGCTCCTTCAGGAAGTGCTCCATAACCTGCCACCAGGCACGGCAGCGCTGCTCCAGGAAGTCCACGACTCCAAAGTGAATGACAAGCTTTTTGAGTATCCAGACTATAAAGACAGCAAAAGATACACATATAAACAATACACAGATTAGAAAGTCACAACACAAAAAGGGTCCTAAAAAGGGTCCTAAGTGTCACATTTTTTTTTGTCTTCCCAAAGGGCACATGTGCTTACCAAAGAAACAGACAAAGAAAGTGAGAAACCATCCCCCCAGGGAGGGTAACCAAGCCAAAGTTTCCTCTCTTGAGATTTTGGGCATGCACGCACAGACACCCGGTACAATTTTCAAGCTGCCAGGCTTTCGACTCAAACCATGTAGTAGACCATGTGGGATCCAACTGCCTTAATCACCAAGCCACCTGACTGACCTTGTCACATAACCTTTTTAAAACAGTAACGCCATGGACCAGCAGTTAGCGTAATGGCTATGTCGCTGGACTCCATGCAGTCAACCGCGGTTCAAGTCCCGGACCTGGTGGTTTAAAATCACACTGGGCATATGTGCGTGCCTGCCCACGATCCTGAGAGGAGAATGGAGGAGAAGGGATTGCGGCGTGGCCATCACCCCAGGGGGGTGATTTTTCACTTTCAGTCTCTCTGTTTCTTTCTGGCGAGTGCACGCGTCCTATAGCAAAAAACTCTCAAAAAAACAAAACGAAACAAAACGAAACAAAACAAAATAAAACAAAACAGTAAAGCCAGTATTAAAATAAAAATCAATGTTTAAAAAAATAAAAATTTAAAAACAGGGGTCCAGACAGTGGCACAGTAGCAAAATACAAGTTTCGAGAAATAGACCCATGTGGGAAGGTCACCAATTTAAGTCTGGAGACCTCCCTGAGTGTGCTGGGCACATATATGCCCATGATCTGGGATGGCTGAAGCTGGGGGAAGATTGTAGCATCAGGACTCTGGCAGGGGTGCTATATCTCTGTCTCTCTCTCTCTCTCTGTCAAAGAATAATAAGCTTAATGAAAGAATATTGGGGCCAACAGGTGGCATGTTGGTTGGGGTGCTGGACTTCTACATAGCCAACCACAGTTCGAATCCCAGACCTGGTTGCTTGCTTTCACTTTCCCTTCCTTTCTCTTTCTCTGGTCAAATTAAAAAATAATAACAAAATTAAATAAATGAGAGGCCAACAGATGGCACAGCGTTTATATTGCTGGACTCCGACATGGCTGATCGTGATTCAAGTCCCGGACTCAGTGGCTTCAAAAATCACACTAGGCGCATGTGCTTGCGTGCCCAAGATCCTGGGAAGGGAAGGGACTGCAGCATGGCTATAGCCCCTAGGGGGTGATTTCTTGCTTTCCCTCTCATTGCTGCTGTCTATCTGTCTCTGTCTCTGTCTCTGTCTGTCTCTCTCTCTCTGGTGAGCACATGTGCCCAAAGGCAACCCCCCAAAAAAAAGTAGTAATAATAAATTAAATAAAAGAATAAATCTTAAGAAAAAAACAATATTGGGGCCAGCAGGTGGTGTAATGGCTACATACTGGACTCCCATGTAGTCGATACGGTTCAAGTCCCAGACCTGGTGGCTTAAACTCACACCGGGTGCATGTGCGTGCATGACCAAGATCTCCAGAGGAGAATGGAAGAGAAGGGATTGCGGCATGGCCATCCCCCTGGGGGGTGATTTTTCAATTTCTTTCTCTCTGTCTCTCTGTCTTTCTGGTGAGCGCACGTGGCCCTATAGCAAAAACCTTCCCCTACCCAAAAAGAAAGATAGGGGAGAGCAGAAGCAAGGAGACCCTGGTTTTCCAAATAGATGGAACCGGGCCAGATAGTTCTTTACACAATCATATGTTACCTTTGTGAAGGAAAACCTACCCACGTAATATCCTGTTTGTGAAATCTGAATCTCTGAAGATGTCAGGGATTGTTTTATAGCCCATAAAAACATAAGATACTCTTCTCGTGACTATTTCTTCTTTTATTTATTTGTTTTGTTTTGTTTTTAGAGAGAGATTTTTGCTATAGGGCATATGTACTCACGGGAGAGACAGAGAGGCAGAGATAGAAAGCAAGAAATCACCCCTCAGGGGAATAGCCAGCCTCAATCCTTTTTCTTCCATTCTCCTCTCGAGACCTGGGGCACGCACACGCACACGTCTGGTGTGAGTATTAAGTAACTAGGTCCGAGATTCAAACCACAGTCCAGCAACATAACCATTATGCCATCTGCTAGGACCATCTCATGAAGATTTCAATGACTAAACTCTTGGCCCCTCACATCTTCCCCCTCCCTGAGCAGATAACACTAACTCCTAACATTTCCTATTCTCATTGACTGCTACAGCTGCCCTTGCCAAACTGTACCAGGTTCCTTAGCTGTCTGACACGCAGTGACTGGACAAGATACTCCTTACACAGGGGGACGTTTTCAGCAGGGGATGTTTTCAGTTACTGCACTGATGCTTTTCTGCATCTGACCAGAGCCAGGGTCCAGCACAGCCCCACACTGAGTAGAGGCAGGGCTGCTGCCCATGGCCCACTGCATGCTGCAGTGGAACGACTCCAGCCCACGGCGGGAATGCCACCACTCAAGGTGTGTGGTGCAGAGGCCCTTCAAGAGGATTAAGTTCCTTGTTAGAGGTCAACTAAAAAGGCGGTAGCACCAGGAGGAAACGTTACTCATCTATGCAGCTTGCCTTGACATTTGGACCCTGAATAACTAATCCCACCCACTATAATTTCCCTAATTCCAGGGACTTGTGAGTTTATCCTTGGCCTTACAACCTAGACTCACAGTTTACTATTTTAATTCCTTCAATTGTATTTTTAAAGCTCTAGATAGGCCCTTGTAATTCTCTTGTAATTTTCGAGAATAAGCCCAGCGTAATTACAAGCTGTAGAAGACCTCTTGGAGAGCCGCCCTGTTCATAAGCTGCTCTCTAAAAGTGATGCTAAATTCCTATGATGGGGCCAGACCGTGAAGCAGCAATAAAATGCCACTCTGTCAGGCTATCCCACGTGAAAAGATTTTCAGTTCAAATTCAGAAATCTCCCTGAGTATGCCAGGCATGCAGGTGCCCATGATTTGTGGTTTGCTGAAGCTGAGAGTGGACCATGGCACTGAGGCCCTACGGGGGTTCACTCTCTCTCTGTCTCACTCATGGAGGAAATAAACAAACTGGAAAAAAACATAAAAAGTAAAAATAAAAGCCTGGTTGGCCCTGTATCTACTGGTTAAGAGAACCGGATCCCACATGGCTGACCACAGTTCAAATCCAGTCCCAGTGGCTTGAAAAACATGATGGCACATGTATGTGCGTGCTCAAAATCCCAACCGATGGAGAAATGGAGGAAAAGGGATTGTGGTGTGACCAGGTCCCGCTGAGGGAGTGCTTTTGCTTGTTCGTTCTTTGTGTCCCTCTGTTTCTTTATCCCTCCTTATCTCTAGTGTGCATACTATGACACTGAAAAACAAAAAAGAAATCTGGCAAAACCAAGAGTATGAAACAATACAGAACCGCAATCTAAACTAGGTTTCACTGCATAGTTCCATAAATTCCATAAGCGAAAGCACAGTCGTGGTTCCTACGCTGAGACTTCACTACATCTGCGTGTTGATTCGGCTGCCTAACACAGGTCCTATCCGAAGACAGAACAAAGCAGATACAGACTTTGGCCGTTTCTATTCTATGTTCCCTGAGAACAGGCACTACGTGGTACTGTGGTCATATAAATGCTTAAAATAATTGCTACCAATCCAACTTAATGAGGATAATCTGTGTCGATAACAATGATCTGGAACATAAATGGGTCAATACAGTTAAGGCTTTTATTTAGACCATGGCAGAAAACATGCTTTCAAAAAATCAAAATATATTTTAATTGATAAAAATATCTTGACGAAATGAGAAGTAATCCAATTTAGGAGGTGCCTGGGTGGAAAAATCCACAGTATCCACTAAGAGCTGAATAAATCTGGCAGAGACTATGACTGCAACAAGAAAGCCCAAATAATCCAGAAAGTGTCAAGTGAGTCAGAGAAAACTCTTCCTTTATCTTACCAGTCTTAGAGAACAGTTTTAGAGAAGCAACGCAATATAGAAGGGCCTTAGATTACCAAGGTATTAAGGTACAAAGACTGAGTCATGACTCAGAGAAAATCATGATTCCGTTTTGATGTAATATGTATTATATGTACATTTTGTATAAGTACTTAACTTTTTCTTCTAAACAAACAAACAAACAAACAAAAAACTTGGGCCAGCAGGGGGCATGGTGGTATGGTGGTTAATGTGTTGGATCCTACATAGCCAACTTTGCAGTTCAAGTCCTGGATCCAACGGCCTGAAAAACATGCCAGGAGCATGTGCAAGTGTGCCCATCCCAAGAAGATGGAGGAGAAAGAATTACACTGTGGCCATCCATCTCCCCCCTCCAGGCAATGATCTCTCACTTTCCCCTTCTCTCTCTCTCTCTCTGGTGAACACACATCCTAAAGCAAAAAACAAAAAACAAAAAACAAAAACAAAAACAAAACAAACCTCAAAATGTTGCATACATTTCTCAAAGCCAGTATTTGTTCTGAATTTAAAATATAATGTATAATGTGCTCCTCTAAAGAGCAGCTCTCTCAAAATTCAATCAAAAACTGCAAATCTAGATGGTTGTGAATATTCTCAACAGAACCATGATGGCTGACTGGCCAACTCTCTACATAAAGTTGTGAAGAATCTCAAATACCACATGAAATTACAAGAGGCTAAACACATTTTTGAGCTCAAAGGTGAAATATTAAAGAAGTGTCAAAGAAATAAATTTCCAAAATACTACTGTAAATTTATCTCATTATTTAAATAAAACGAGACTGTTTTTTGTTTTTATTTTTTTTTTAACACAGATTTTTGCTATCAGGAACATGTACTCACCAGAGAAACAGAGAGATAGAAAGAAAGAAATCACCCCTCCCCCCGGAAGGATGGCCACCCTACAATCCCTTCTCCTCCATTCTCCTCTCAGGATCTTGGGCACACACGCACATGCGCCTGGTGTAAGGTTTAAGCCACCGGGACCAGGACTAGAACCATGGTCAACTACATGGGAGTGCAGTGACATAGCCATTAAACCACCTGCTGGTCCCAAGACTGTTTATTTTAAAAGGCAATAAATTTTATCAAACATTAAAACCCAACAGCTTAAAAATAAATAAATGAAAGTCTTCCAGACAAGATCTGAATGAACCAGGTACTGACCGGCAATTGGCACTGGCAGCAGCTGCACGATCCACAGGTTGAGCCAGATCTGGACAACGATGATGGCCCACACGAGAGACACAAAGTAGATGTCGCTCGTTTTCTTCTTTCTAAGAAACGTGCCCATTTCAGGCCTTGGTCTACCCAGAGTGGGTGAAGGGGAGGAGGGAGAGGGCGAGGAGGACAATGCAGGAGGGGGTTCACCACTGTCCATGGTTTCTGAAGAGGGAAAGAAAAGAGAATTACCCGCTGTAGGAGTCCACATTAGGAAACAGTAACACCGACTAATTCACTAAGCTACTCTAATTTTAAAGCCTTCAAAATGCATTCTGATAGTCTGTACGGTGTGATTACTTGGGTTAAAAAGGACAAAGAAAGTGTTTTTAATGTACGTATGTTCACATACGCACTGAAAAACGGGCATGGAGAATTCTAATACTGACAGTGCCTTAATCTCTCAGAAATTAAGAGACAGGGCATCTCTAACCTTTTATACTATACACTGTGCAAGTTTTTTATGGCCAGTATATATAATATGTATATACACATATAAACTCTGAAAATAAATTAAGGAAAAATACATGACAAAATAAGTAAGAATTATAACTATCTTATAACATTACTCAAATCATATAAAGAAACAAAAATCTAACATATGCCAGAATTTCTAAATTTATAACCTCTTCCTTTCACAATAGAACTTTCGATCAGGTCTATGTATACATATTTCTGAAGCAATAGTTTTTCACTGCCATTTCACCTAAAAAAAAAAAAAAAAAAAAAAACAACTGTCCTTACAAGAACCCAAGGCTGGCTGGCCCTAGGGAGGGCTCTGTGCACTGGGAACCAGATCTCACACAGCCAACCATGGTTTGAATCCCAGCCCCAGTAACTTGAAAATCACACCAGATGCATGTGTGTGCATGCTCATCCAAAATCTTGACAGGGAGGGAGATGAGGAGAAAAACTGTGGCAAGACCATACCTGCAGGGGGGAGCTTTCACGCTCCCTTATGAGCACAAACACTTTCTGGCAATAAGAAAAGAAAAAGGGAACCAGCAGTTAGCGTAATGGCTATGTCGCTGGACTCCCACGCAGTCGACCGCGGTTCGCGTCCTGGACCCGGTGGCTTAAAACTCATGCCGGGTGTGTGTGCGTGCGTGCCCAAGATCCCGAGAGGAGAATGGAGGAGAAGGGATTGCGGCGTGACCATCCCCCCTGGGGGGTGATTTCTCGCTTTCTGTCTCTATGTCTCTCTCTGTCTGTCTGGCAAGCGCATGCGCCCTATAGCAAAAATCTCTCCAAAAAAAAAAAAGAAAAAGAAAAAGAAAAGAACCCAGGGCTTTCAAATATGTCTTTTCCTTTGAATGAGACATAATAAAGTAACAGACTGAAGGAGTTAAATAATTTCTAAAGAAGGCAAACCATACTGGATTATTTCATATATTGCACTGTTTCTAACAATGCAACCATTATGTTATATTCTACCATAGGGTTCATTATTTCTAGCTCCTAGCTTTAACAAAACCTAACATATGTTGGGTCACTGGAAAAGTCATGCTACATCTTTCTATGGTTTTCTATGGAAAAATGCACCATGACTTTTCCGACAACCCAAAACATCAAAAATAAATCATAGAACTCTTAAAGCGACATTACTCAATATATGCCATGACAAGGAAAATAATAAGATCCTAAAACCTGCATTTTCCCTTCTATTTAAAAAATGTTCATTACAGGAACCAGCAGATGGTGTAGTGGTTACGTCACTGGACTCCCACATAGCCGACTGTGGTTCGTGTCCCAGACCCAGTGGCTTGGAACTCACACCAGGCGCAGGTGCGTGCATGCTCAAATTCCCAGAGGAGAATGGAGGAGAAGGGATTGTGGCATGGCCATTCCACCTGGGAGGTGATTTTTTCACTTTCTCTCTCTGTCAGGTGAGCACATGGACCCTATATCAAAAGTCTCTCTAAAAAGAAAAGTTAATTATAAAAGCATCCATTTCAGAAAGTCTAGGAAAGAGAGAAAAGAAACAAAAGCATCCATAATCCCAACCTTCTAATTGTCCCATAGTGAGTTACAGTTTCAAGAGCTATATCCTGTTCCTATTCTTCTTCAATCCCACCTCTCAGATGAATGACAGCTCCATGAGATCCAGGACATTATCCGTCAGTCTTTTTCTGTCTCCACTGAATTCCTAGCACACAGACTAGTACCTGATACACAGCAGGTGCTCACTAAATATCCGCTGAATGAATGACTTCCCTGATATTTCCTAATTTTCATAAGTGACTGCATAATGACCCATTGACTACTGTATCACTGTTTCCTTAGTGTTATCTATAATGTGAAATGTTTAGCTAAAAATAACTTTTACTACTGAGATGACCTATACCAGGGTAAGTCAGCTCAGCTCACTAGGACTAACATTCCACCTTGAGGTTTGGGGCTAAAGCCCAAGCTAGCCATAATATGTTTTGTTTTGTTTTTTTCTTTGCTTTGCTCTGAGTATCATTCTAGTTTGGGAACTTCACGTTGGAAGGTGGGGCAGACATTTGGAAAAATAATAGGTCCATAACCAAAACATTATTCTTTTTCCACTTTGGAAACATAATTCAATGTGTAATAATAACAATAGGTGTTCCTACTATTCCAAATGCTTTTCTCTTAGCTGATCCTTTCCTTTAAGACATTTCTAAATTCAGTTATTCAAGAAAAGCTCAGTGTAGGGCCAACCTTGTGACCTAGTAGTTAAGGGAGCTATATCCTAAATGGTAAACTACTTGGTTCAAATCCCAGCCCTGGTGCCTTAAGAAACACACTGAGTACATATGCATGTGTGTCCATCATCCAGACAGGATGGAGAAATGGAAGAGAAGGGACTGCAGTATGACCTCTCCCCATTTCTAACAAGTATGTATGCCCTTTTGGGGGTTGGAGGGAGGCTCACTATAAATATTCCCTAACTCCAAATACTTCTGGCACTAAGGGACCTCTCAGCAAAGAGTGAGATGACCTTTTGCATTCCTGAACTCTGTGACAGCATGTTTGACTCTAAAGCAGATATAAATCTACCAGCCAGCAATCCCAGGAGTCTGCAACTCCAGAAGTGAGGCCACACAGAAGACCGAACCTAGAGCAACCAGAGGGGCCTACTTTAAGGGAAATAGTCATGAGGCATGCAAATTAGATGTTTTTTTTTAAAGAGAGATGTTTGCTATAGGGCACATGTGCTCACCAGAGACAGAGAGAGAGACAGAGAGAAAGAAAGTGAGAAATCACTCCCCAGGGGTGATGGCCACACCACAATCCCTTCTCCATTCTCCTCTCAGGACCTTGGGCATTTACACACACACACACACACACACACACACACACACACACACACACACAAACACTGCTTGAGTTCCAAGTTGCCAGCTCTGGGATGTGAACCATGGTCAAACAGGTGAGAGCCCAGAGCCCCAACCACTATACCACCTTCTGGCCCCAGACTTTTAAAAGAAATACAAAAGAAAAGATGCCAGAGAAAACAATGACTGAAAGATGGAAAATAAAAGCATCCTCCATTCCCCAAAAAGAACTGAATAAAAAGAATAAAAGAAATAGCAACCTAAAGAGAAAGAGCAAAAACAAGAATGGACCACTGTAAAAGAAAGATATGGAAAATAAGAAACTAATATAAGGAAATTGTACAGTGGGGGGAAATGTGGAAAAGGTAAATGAGGCATCCAGAAAGGAAAAATACCATAAAAGGAAAGCGATAACAATAAAAGGGAAAAAAAAGTTAGTATTTTTCTGGGACCAGCAGTTAGCACAATGGCTATGTCGCTGAACTCCCATGTAGTCAACCACGGTTCAAGTCCTGGACCCGGTGACTTAAACTCACGCCGGCACATGTGCGTGCATGCCCAAGATCCCAAGAAGAAAATGGAGGAGAAGGGATTGCGGTGTGGCCATCCTCCCGGGGGGGCGATTTCTCGTTCTCTGTCTCTCTGTCTCTCTGGCGAGTGCACGTGCCCTATACCAAAAACCTCTCCAAAAAATTTTTAAAAATTAAAAATAATCAATAAAAAATGAGTATTTTTATAAGAATTATTTTATTATTATTATTGTTATTGTTATTATACAATTTGACCACAGAGATAAAAAGAGAAAGCAAGCCATTGGGTCCAGGTCTCAAACCACACTTGGCCGTGTAGGAGTCTAGCATCCCAACCAACATGCCACCTGTCGGCCCCTAAGTATATTTAAAAAAAAAATGGGATGAAGAACCAAGAGAAGAAACCCAAGAATGTGAAAACATGCTTTAAAACAAAACAAACAAACAAAAATTTTAAGTGATATAGGAGAACGAAGGGGGGTAAAGGTCTAAAAACAGGAATCAGAAAGGAATGAAGAAGCAAGAGTAAACAGCATTTCATGATACTACTATCCTTCTTGATCCTAGCTTCTATTAACATTGTATTCATTTCCAGAACGACCTTAAACGTCTTCTGATACTACTATCCTTCTTGATCCTAGCTTCTATTAACATTGTATTCATTTCCAGAACGACCTTAAACGTCTTCCGAACATCAGTCACCTGCAGGCCGAGTCGAGGGCTGGTCTTCGCTGCTTGATTCATACCCTGTGATCGATATGGCCAAGTTTGCTAGAGTAGATGCTGCCATGGAGATAACCTGCCCTGGTAACTCTGCCCCTGGAAAAGAAGCATGCACTTTTAGGACTTTATAAAGGAAAGGAACAAGGGAGATAACAGTTGCAAATTTAAATATAAATTTAAATTTTAAATTCCTACATTTTCAACTACATAAAACAAAATAGTTATTAAAACCTAGAGTAGTAGTTTTTCATCATCAAAAAATGCTTAAGAATCAATAAGAAAGTCTGCTAAAGATGCAAATCCCAAGACCCTGTGTATCTTCTTCATTTGGGAATCTCATGTTGGTAGGCTTGACAGATACCGCATATATAATTTTGGCGTGCCGCATTACATATTTTAACTTTAGAAGTTGACTTTAGCGTATACATCTGTAGAAAACTGCTATACCAAGTCTGTGAGCTCCTGGAGCAGACTGTCTGATAATACTTCATATAGCTTGATCCTCGAACAATGCAAAACAGCCCACACTTGGTGCTCTCAATAATAACACGTCACGAATGAAAATGTAGATATATTGGTATTGTGTAAAACCCTATAGATCTAAAGTGCATAATTCAGCACAGGCACAATCCACCACCTGAAAACCTAGAAGAACAGCATGCCCTTGTTTCATGGTATATGTTCCCAAGTTGAGTTCCTTACTGTACCAAGTTCGGTCAGGTGTACTAGATTTAAATAACAAGTGAGTAAACATCTACTGGCAAATGAGGTCTGTCTGGAATGGCCATTCCGTCACCTTTCGGAGCAGACAAGTCAGACTAGCTCATACAGCATTAAGTTCTAGCAGGCTTTCCTGCATACTAGAAACTAACACTGAAGACTGCCATTTCTCAGATTCCCCTGCAGCTAAGATCTCACACATGAAGCAGGTACACCTGTACATGCAGAAGACAGAGCTAGCGTACTGTAACGGCAATGCTCGTGTCAGAGTCATGGAGGCACATGAATTTTCTGCAGCAACTTAGCAGAAATGCCAGGGCTTCTGATACCGAATTTCTAACATCCTGGCAGGCAGCAGCCGTGGCCTTCTGCCCAAATGGTCCTTGAGCATTACTCCAGGTTGAGTTGCTTCTGCTTGGGTAAGATCCAGGCTTGGTTATCTGACCTTTCCAAAAATTTTACATGTAAAAATTCTAAATGCTAAGCAATATTTCTTAAATATTTGGGTTAGCTAGTGTGGACTCTATTATCTACAACTAACAACACGGCCATTCCTAGTCATCAAATCATACACCCACACTCACCCAGCCAGGTCCTTACTTTTGCTAGGCTATACTCAGTGTGACAACATAGAACTTTGCCAAACCAATGGAAAGAGCCACAACCCTTCAGAAAGCCAATGAATTTCAGCTCCAAATGAATTCCACATATCAGCAAATCCAAAAATGATGATATACCAAAGATAAGCGAGTGAGAGCCTGACATGGCTCGTTGGTAGATTCGGTCATCAAGATAAAAACACTCATCTTGTTCAACCATACCCTATCCCTAAGCCCCATGATGTGAAAGAAGTTTATTTTTAGGCAATGAGAGAACAATTAAAACCCAGGGTCTGAGAAGAAAGCATAAGTCATATATCTGAATGGGCCTTATTCTCCTGGGATATACAAAATGGCTTCAGAGATGCCAAAGAGAGAGCAAGGATCAAGAAAGACAATGCCTTGAAGTCTTCCATGTACTCATTATTCACTGTATTGTATGCCAAGGATATATACAGACCTTCCACCACTGTCTAATTCAAAGACAGAGCTACACAAAAACAATGTATCAATAAAAAACATGATTGCTATAAATGAAAAATACCAGATATTTTGTGAGCTCTTAACAGGAAAAAAAAAAAAAAAAAAAAGACTTACTCTGGAGAATCAGGAAAGGCTACTCTAAGAAATGGTACTGGAGGGGTTGCCACACAGCCTACTGGTTAAGGGATCCAGATCCCACATGGTTGACTGTGAACTTGACCACGGGTCCTAGCGGCTTGAAAAGCATGCTAGCATGTATCTGTGCACACCCCAAATCACAGCAGGATGGAGAAATGGAAAACGGAGTGTGACATGACCATGCCCCACTGCAGGGTGCTTTCCCCTTCTCCCTCCTGTCTCCCTCTTGGTCTCCCAGACTCTCCCAGTCAGCACGCATAACCTCTGATAGAAACAAAAAAGAGTAACACTCTAAGTAGAAGAAAGTGAGAACAAGAATCAAATAACCAAGGCTGGAAAGGTAAGCCAGATGGTGCAGGTCACAAAAAACTGTTATCGACTAAGAGAAGTCTTTATCCTAAGAGGAGAAGGAAAGCATTGAAGAGTTTTAAATAGAATAGTAATTATTTTTAACTGAAATTTTACTGAGACAAATGTAGATTCGCATGCAGTTGTAAGAAATAATCCTGTAGGGACCAGCAGATGGCATAATGGCTATGTCGCTGGACTCCCATGTAGTGGACCAGGGTTCAAGTCCTGGACCTGGTGGCTTAAACTCACGCAAGGTGCGTGTATATGCATGCCCAAGATCCCGAGAAGAGAATGGATAAGAAGAGATTGTGGCATGGCTAACCCCCTAGGGGGTGATTTCTCGCTTTCTTTCTCTCTGTCTTTCTTGGAGAGCACTCATGTCCCATAGCAAAAACCTCTCAAAAAAAAAAAAAAAAAGTAGAAGAAGAAGAAATAATCCTGTGTACCTTTTACCCAAGTTCCCTCAACAGTAACATCTCATGAAACTATAATACAACATCACTATCTGGATACCAGCACAGACACCAAAGACAAAGAACAGTTTCATCACTACAAAGATCCCTCCTCTTGCCCTTTTATTACCATATTCACCAGCAACCTCCCCTCTCCACCCTGTAAATAAATAGATGACAACTTCTGAGATAGGAAAAGTTCATTCTAGTTTATCTGGAGAACAGCCTAGAGAGGACCAAGACTGGCTGCAAGGAGGTAAGTTATTACAGGACTACAGGCAAGACATGATGAAAGGGAGGTCTACAGTGGCAACAGTACAGGTGTAGAAAAGTGGTGACTCAAGGACAGTCCTATCCAACTAGACTCGGTGACAAACTGACAGAGGGAATCTAGGAGATGAAGGCATCCATTTCCAGACTTATGGCTAGACAGGTAATACACAGGGGAACTGAGTGAAGATTCTGGACATATTAAAGTTCTTTTGGACTTACAAATACAAGTTGCACAAACTGATTATACCAGATGGATGGCACAGGACTAAGCTTTTCACAGGTGCACCAGGAATGGTCTCTCAGGCCCCACTCAAAAACAAAGCCTGGAAACAACAAATGCCTGGGACAGTAGAGTAAAAAAGAAAAAGGAAAAAAACAAAAAGTTAAAATTTTAAAGTTCCACTTTAAAAAAAAAAAAAAATTGGCCCAGCCACAGAAGCACACAGGTAGCACCATTGCTTGAGAGGCTGAAAGCCACAGGGGTGGCCCAGCGTCAGTTCCTGCGACAACCTAAACACACTGGGCACAGCTGTACGCACATCTGTGGTTTCACCAACAAGGAGGCGAGGGAAAGACTGTAACACAGTAAGATCTGTTAAAAAATACCTCTTTCTGGGGCTGGCAGGTGGCATGGTGGTTAAGGGCACTGGACTCCCACATGTCTGACCATAGTTTTGAGTCCCGGACCTGGTGGCTTGTGTTTTTACTTTCTCTCTCCCTCTCCCTCTGTCTCTCCCTCGTGCATGCGCTCTGTCCCTCTCCAGTCAAATTAAAATAAGTTAATAAATAAAGTTAAATAAAACAATTCTTCTAAAAAAAACCTCTCTCCGGACCAGCAGATGGGATAATGGTTACATCACTGGACTCCCACACAGTAGACCACAGTTCAAGTTCATGACCCAGCGGCTTAAAACTCTCACTGGGCGCATGTGCACGCGTGCCCAAAATCAAGAGAGGAGAATGGCGAAGGGATTATGGCGTGGTCATCTCCCCTGAGGGGTGATTTTTCACTTTCTGTCTCTCTGCCTCTCTTTGTCCTGTCTCATTCTCTTCCTCATAAAGAGAAAGAAAGAAAGAAAAAAAGAATTCTCTCTTATATAAGATTAAAGACTAGTCAAGGGTTGTGAATTATTAAACCAGCCTCTTCACAAGTAATTTAATTAGGTGGTGACTCATTGTTCAGACATTCTGAAGGGTAATTCTCTTGGTGGTTTTTAAATACTAGCTCCAAAATAACAAGATGATTCTGTAGCTCCTCAAATAGGGATTTTCAGTTTAGCTGCATTCTGACTTAAATTCCTAAATGCCCACTAAGTGCTAACTCACCGAACGAGTGACCAGGCTATATGCTGAGATAAGAGATTAGGCCCCTGGTCTCTAGTTCAGTCTGATACTGAATCAGAACTAATAGTTTACTATGTTCAGAGCTAATGTAAAGTTAAGTGTGGAATGACATAGAAACCTAATCCATGCAGGAGGTGAGGAAAAGGTTTCCAAGGCAGCTACCAGACAAGAATATTCAAAGATGTCAACCTTTAAGCCCACTTGAACAAAAATTAGCCAGATAAGGATGACAGGAACAAGTCTATCTTGGGGAGAAAGGGAGAGGCTGGTGTCTTAGAAAGCAGGGGTAAAAAAAGTGTCACAGGAAAAAAAAAAAGTATGTGTCAAAGACACAAAAGCCAGAAAAGCCAGCGTGTCCCCTTCAAACAACTCTCAGAAGTTCAAGACAGCCAGAACGGAGGGTACCGTGAGAAGGGCTGAGAGTAAAGGATGCAGACAAAGACTGGGACCAGAGGATGGAAGGTTACGTGTTTACTACACACAGAGGCAGCACAACTCAGTGCTGTGAGGCACAGGTGAGGAAACAAGACTACCCAGGTTCAAATCCCAGACTCTTCTTTACCAGTTGCAGGATCATTGGCAAGTTATTGAACATTTAGATGCTTCAGTCTCCCCACGTGTAAAACGGGGTGTATATAAATTCCTATCTCATGTGAAAATTAACTTAAACGATACATATAAAATGCTTAAAGCAATGTCTGACATGTAGAAAAGCACTCAAGAAATGTGAGCCACT